CCCAGTGGGATCAGGAATGGCCCCACTGTGCCCTTTCCATTGGGGTAAGGAAGGATCCCAATGGGATTGGGAGTGGCCCCACTGTGCTCTTCCCATTGGGATTGGGAAGGACTCCTACAGAATTGGGAATGCCTCTGCCATGCCCTTGCCAGTGGGGCTGGGAAAGATCCCAGTGGGGTTAGGACTGGCCCTGCTATGCCCTTCACAGAGGGATTGGGAAGGATCCCAGTGGGGGTGGGAATGGCCCCATTGTGCCCTTCCCATTGGGATCAGGAATGGCCCCACTGTGCCTTGCACAGAGGGATTGGGAAGGATCCCAAAGAGTTTGGGAATGGCCCTGCTGTGCCCTTCCCATTGGGGTCAGGAAGGATCCCAGTGGGGTCAGGAATGGCCCTGCTGTGCCCTTCAGAGAGGGATTGGGAAGGATGCCAGTGGAATCAGGAATGGTCCCACCATGCCCTTCCAGCCCCCTCCTGCTGCTGGAGGCTTCCCACAGCTGCTGGGTGCTCCAGGTGGGTGCCAGCCCCGGGCCATTCCGGGTTTGTGCCCTCCCAGCACCCTCTGTGGGCCCGCTGACTCAGGACACTGATTTCCCATTCCCCTCACGTCCAGCCCTGGCTGCAGCTCCGCATTCCCCAGACCCGGAAAGCCCCCGGGGACAGGAATGTGAAACCAGACTTGACAAAACTCTTGAGATCCCAGCACAGCCCGGCCGGGGCAGTGCGAGGGCAGGTCTCTGGCTGGGACCGGCCTCGAATTCCTCAAGGCAACTCCCGGAACTCGCCGTGCCCGTCCCTCCCACCTGCCAGACGGGAATATTTGCCCCTGGTGCATAACGAGACGAGGAATCATCACAATAATCGCTGCCTGACCCAGGGACCCAAGGCGGGGAGGGGACAGGTGACAGAGCAGAGCTGTCATTAAGGGCTCTGTCACCCTAACCCCACGCCTCAATCACACCTCCACATCCTGCTCCCCTGGCACTGCCACACGGGTGGAGCTGGCAGCAAAAGGGTGCCCAGCAGGAGGAACCAGGCCTATTTCTGGAGCAGCCTGGAATAGCCACGGAGCTGGCTGGAACCCATTTCCCCTCCTCGCTCACCTCCCAGCCCTTTTTAGGATGCAAGATTTTCCCGAAAAAGCACCTTGGACTTAGATTTATTCGGTGCTCAAGCTTAGATTTAGTTTGTACTCAAGCACTCGGGTCTAAATTTAGTCTGTCCCATTTAAAGCACCGACTGCATCACCCACAGAACACCTTCCCAGGCCGCTTTTCAGCAGTTCCGTCCCCAAATTGGCTGGTGCAGAGCTGGGAGCTTGGTCAGGAATTGGCATCTGGCTCCTTTTTCCAGCCACAACTTCCATCAGTTGTGCCCTGCCTGTTGTTTTTGTGTCGTGCTCTTGCAACAGGAGGTGCCTGTGATTCACTCCATTTGTTTGGTTTGCTTTTCTTCTTTTTCAATCTGCGCACAGCAAAACATATTTCTTTTTTCTTTTCCTTTTTTTTTTTTTTTCCTTCCCCAACCAACATTTTCAGTTCCCAGCATCCCCCAACCCTGTGAAAAAGGAGAAAATAGCACTGCTGGGAAAGCGAGCAGCTTTCTCCTGGAAATGGTGATGCTCTGAGAGCTTGGTGGGAAAGTGTCCTACAAAGATGTTTCACACCATGGGACCACAAAAAAACCCCAGAGATGCTGTCACTGAGGAGAAAAGCTGCTGCTGGCACCAGAAATCCCTCGTTTGCCGCAACAGGAGGAGATGAGGACCTCAAGGATCATCTCATCCCATGCCCTGCTATGGTCAGGAGCATACAGGGTGCTCCAAGCCTGGCTTTGGGCACTGCCAGGGATGCAGGGGCAGCCACAGCTTCTCTGGGAATTCCTTCCCAAAATGCCATCCATCCCTGCCCTCTGGCAGTGGAAGCATCCCCTGTGTCCTGCCCCTCCATCCCTGATCCCAAGCCGCTCTGCAGCTCTTTCCAGAAGGTTCTGGGGGCCCCAGCCGTGCCGTGCCAGGGCACGGAGAGCTCCCCGCCAGCCCTGCTGACACAGCTCTCGCAGTCAGGGAGGCAGCCAAGCCTAGCAAAGCCCAGGAGCTGTTCCAGGCAGGCAGATTCCCAGAAATGCCAATCCAAGGGCCCGCTGTAGCCCGGGGCGGGCTGGAGCCAGCTCACCCCGCCGAGGGTCAAGTGTATAATCCTGCCCTTCTTCCCTCGGGGACCTGCTTATCTCTGCTGCCTGCGGCTTGCAGCTCACCTGTTAATGAGCTGGGAATAATTAAACAGCCGGAGCCCAGCCCACCCCGCCGTGGGATGGATGAGCTTTCCTCGGCGCTCTCTCTGCACGTGTGGCTGAGCAGGGACGAATTGCTGAGCGTGGCAGC